TAATACTGGTGCATCTCAATAAATTAGAATGTTGTGAAAAAGCTAATTTAATTCAACTCAAATTGTGAAACTCGTGTATTAAATAAATTCAATGCACACAGACTGAAGTAGTTTAAGTCTTTGGTTCTTTTAATTGTGATGATTTTGGCTCACATTTAACAAAAACCCACCAATTCACTATCTCAACAAATTAGAATATGGTGACATGCCAATCAGCTAATCAACTCAAAACACCTGCAAAGGTTTCCTGAGCCTTCAAAATGGTCTCTCAGTTTGGTTCATTAGGCTACACAATCATGGGGAAGACTGCTGATCTGACAGTTGTCCAGAAGACAATCATTGACACCCTTCACAAGGAGGGTAAGCCACAAACATTCATTGCCAAAGAAGCTGGCTGTTCACAGAGTGCTGTATCCAAGCATGTTAACAGAAAGTTGAGTGGAAGGAAAAAGTGTGGAAGAAAAAGATGCACAACCAACCGAGAGAACCGCAGCTTTATGAGGATTGTCAAGCAAAATCGATTCAAGAATTTGAGTGAACTTCACAAGGAATGGACTGAGGCTGGGGTCAAGGTATCAAGAGCCACCACACACAGATGTGTCAAGGAATTTGGCTACAGTTGTCGTATTCCTCTTGTTAAGCCACTCCTGAACCACAGACGTCAGAGGCGTCTTACCTGGGCTAAGGAGAAGAAGAACTGGACTGTTGCCCAGTGGTCCAAAGTCCTCTTTTCAGATGAGAGCAAGTTTTGTATTTCATTTGGAACCAAGGTCCTAGAGTCTGGAGGAAGGGTGGAGAAGCTCATAGCCCAAGTTGCTTGAAGTCCAGTGTTAAGTTTCCACAGTCTGTGATGATTTGGGGTGCAATGTCATCTGCTGGTGTTGGTCCATTGTGTTTTTTGAAAACCAACGTCACTGCACCCGTTTACCAAGGCATTTTGGAGCACTTCATGCTTCCTTCTGCTGACCAGCTTTTTGAATATGCTGATTTCATTTTCCAGCAGGATTTGGCACCTGCCCGCACTGCCAAAAGCTCCAAAAGTTGGTTAAATGACCATGGTGTTGGTGTGCTTGACTGGTCAGCAAACTCACCAGACCTGAATTGTATTGTCAAGAGGAAAATGAGAAACAAGATACCAAAAAATGCAGATGAGCTGAAGGCCACTGTCAAAGAAACCTGGGCTTCCATACCACCTCAGCAGTGCCACAAACTGATCACCTCCATGCCACGCCGAATTGAGGCAGTAATTAAAGCAAAAGGAGCCCCTACCAAGTATTGAGTACATGTACAGTAAATGAACATACTTTCCAGAAGGCCAACAATTCACTAAAAAATTTTTTTATTGATCTTATGAAGTATTCTAATTTGTTGAGATTGTGAGCCAATATCATCACAATTAAAAGAACCAATGACTTAAACTACTTCAGTCTGTGTGCATTGAATGTATTTAATACACAAGTTTCACAATTTGAGTTGAATTACTGAAATAAATGAACTTTTCCACGACATTCTAATTTATTGAGATGCACCTGTATGTACTGCTGCTGCTCCGAAGAACCATGTGAACTGCATGTATTACTATCTACACCGACCGGCTTGACACTAGTGTCCTATGACTATGTGAGCCTTGGCTACCACGGCGACTGGCTTAACTATAGTGGGCTATGACTATGTGAGCCTGGGCTACCACGCCGACTGGATTAACTCTAATTAGATGCGCACTATGTGTAATGTTTAATTAACAAATGGATATACGTTGCAATTCGATGGATAAGGCCCCAACACCCAACTGAGCAAATATAATAATTTATTCATTTGATAACTGCTGTTAATTTCTCCAGAGACAGATCCCCAGTGAAGACTTTGTCTCCTGGACTGCCACCGGGACAAGACCACAGGAACCAGTTGAGTCCTCTGCACAATGTGACTTTGCTGCAGCCTGGAATTGAACTGCTGGTTTCGTCTGGCCAGAGGAGAACTGGCTCCCCGACTGAGCCTGGTTTCTCCCAAGGTTTTTTCTCCTTTCTGTCACCGATGGAGTTTTGGTTCCTTGCCGCTGTCGCCTCTGGCTTGCATAGTTGGGGACACTAAATTTCCAGTGATATCGCCAACTTGATTGCACAGATACTATTTAAACTGAATTGAGCTGGATGATGACATCCCTAAATTCAATGATGAACTGCCTTTAACTCAGTGGTTCTCAAAGGGTGGGCACGAGTATTGCAGGGTGGGCATGGGTCATCAGCAGAAAAATAAAAAAAATAAAACAGTAAACAGCCAAAGGACGTAACTTCGAATGGGAGATGGATCGGTTTGTGAAAGGGAAGAGAAAAGCCATAGATGAAGTCGCACAGACCCAGGCAGGTGCTCGTCATTTAAAAGCTAAATGCAGAAAATAAGACAAGGCATATCTTGCTCTCGGCTTTACTCACTGTGTCTATACCGGACACTACAGTTGTCGAGTCATGCCGCAAGTCTACACTGGACACGACAAAACGACTGTTGCAAATCATTTTAACTTTATGTCAGTACGTCATAATCAGAAAAGACATCAGTTTAATGTCGGGGTTTTGTCGTGTCGCATCGCATCCAGTGTACACAGCGTCACTGATTATAATGGCTCTACGCCAGATTTTTTTATAGGTTTAAAGGGGGGCGCGAAAAAAAGTTTGAGAACCACTGCTTTAACTGAAAATTGAGTATTTACTATTGTCATTATGCATTATTGACACTATTTTCCTAATTAATGCTGTACAGTGGCTTTGACACAATCTGTATTGTTAAAAGGGCTATATAAATAAAGGTGACTTGACTGGACTTGACTTCTCCACTTCATCAGTCCCAGCGGCAGCGTAACATCTTGTTAATTCATGTTCGTGCAAAGATGAGACAAACAAAGTTAGACGATGCATACCATTTGACTCTCTCGTGTATATAAAAGTTGTCAAAGTTAAAGTGCACAAAAATCCCTGGGTGGACTGACCTGAATGAACTGAAATAAAAGCAGAATATAAAATGTTCTTTCTCTGTTTTCTGAATTACACAGCACAGCAAGAGCACACGTCGCACAAGCATATTTCTCCGAACTTCACTACCCATAATGCATTTCATTATGAACTAACTGTTACAGCCGTAGATAGTGATCTTCAGCTTCTCCCGCAACACTGTCATTGATATGACTGCAATGTTTGAGAACCACTGCAATAGAGGATCCGGATTATCACCCCGTCCGAAAAGAGGTAGCTGGTGACAGTTCTTTTGAGTCCCTGGATGAAGATGATGCTCTCTCAACGAGCACATCCTCTACAATGCTTCCATGTAAGAAAAGAAGAAAAGGAATACACACTCTAAAAACAGTTTCCTTGAAGGAGCCAGAGGATAGCTACACTACACAGCATTGCTGGTTTACAAAGAAATGTTAATTTATCTAAAAAATGAACGAAAAAAATCCTATTGCACTACCCCACTTGATGGCGTGTTTCTTGAATCATAAAAACCTAAAGTTCCATTATATTACTATCTTTCGCTATTTATTTATTTTATTCGTTTTTGAATGCAGAAAGAATGTAATGTCTTTGGTTTTGTTACTTTTAGTTATTTGTGTTATTTATTTTTGTTTATTGTTAAAAAAACAAGAAAACATATAATTTCTTGTGTTAAAATGAAAACCTGAAATATTTCATGGCATACTTATATAAAGAAGATATACAAAACTGTTTTATTTTGATTATGTTTTAAAATAAATTAGTATTATAGTTAATATTTTCTGATTTTCATAGTATGTGAATAAATTCCGGTATTTTTACCATAAAGTGACATATCAACCATTTGGTAGAGGCCAATATTTGACCACTAAGGTCCAATGGACCTTAATTGCATCAGCATAGCTGTGATAGGCAATTTGGTTCTTTCTCATTATTTGACTTAATAGGAGCATATGCAGGCTAAACAAGAGCGGTGCAAGAATTGAGCCTTGTGGGACTCCGCGTGTCATGGATGTCCACTTAGACTTATGCTCTCCTATACTCACATAATAACCTCTCCCTTCTAAGTATGACCTGTAGGGTTCCAGCACCTTCTGTGAATATCTGTGAGTTTCTTTTCACAACTGTAATTAATCTATCCAACAAGTATATCACCAATAATAACATTAATATTTAATCATGTATAGGGACCCCTAAGAACTTCCTCGTGGCACATTGTTCACATTTACTAAAAAAAATAAAAATAAAAAATAAAAATAAGAAGAAATCAGTTTAAATTGTCTCTGGTTTTCTTTTCAGAGAAATCTGTGTGTAGACCAGTAATAATGTTATTTGATCAATGATAATGAGAAAAGGACACCATAATGATCTTTAAGTTTAAAAATATATATATTTATTAAAAATCTTCTTCATCATCGGCAAAATACTGCAGAGAGGGAGGAAAAAGAACATTACCAAAACAGTGGCAGCTACACTTGAGTTTAAGATGCTACATCTAATACTCCCATTACATCTTCTGGATCCTCCTGTGGAGGTAAAATGGGAAGAGGTGGAGGAGGAGGAGGAGGAGGTGGAGGTGGATGAGGGGGGAAAAGAGGAGGAAGATTGGGGCCCTGCTGGATCCACTCGTCAGCGGAGGAGGTGTGCTCACTGTCCTGCAGAACAACACAACTCAACAGATTGTCAAACTGCACATCATATAATAGTCGCAGTGTAAAGGAATATGCACAAAGCTCAACTTACTGTACCGCTTATGAGTTCAGTGGTCGCTGTCTAGAAATAAAGGCAATTT